GAGAGATACAAGTAAATGTGCTGGACTCTTAAATCTTAAGACTGACATGAGGAGCCCTTCCACTCTGAGTCATAAAGTACAACGAAGTGTTTTTGTTCTAGTCAGTTAGAGACTTTAACTGGATTAAATTGAAGGCTTTTTAATGTGTGAAGCCTTGTAGCAGCAGTGATTTTCCAAAACATAGTTGCTATTCAGAGGACAAACAGTATAACACAATATTCTCTGTGCTTAGAAAATAACTTGGAAATACAGCTGGAGAAGGTGCTGGAAAGGCCATGTGATTTTGGCAACTAATAACATGATAGATGAATCATCTCTGCCGTGTTTTTGCAATGTTCAAATTTCAGAACTTTGTTTTCTGTCTGCAGATATGAACTGTCTCATACATTTGGGACAGCCTTTAGAGGAGCTGCTCTTTCCCATCCTCCAGTCCCCCAGAAAGATGAGAGATCAGTGATCTTAATCCTAATTTTAATCCTTATCTATTAGCTACTTGAGGTCTATCCAGCCCAGGGATGGGCAATTATGGCCCCTTTATGACCTGTGGACTTCAACTCTCAGAATTCCTGAGCCAGCCATGCTGGTTCAAGAATTCCGGGAGTTGAAGTCGATTGGACATAAAGGGGCCATAGTTGCCCACCCCTGATCTAGACCATGATAAATTTCATAATCTGATTTGATCAGATGTTCCAATGCAGTCTAGTTCATAATCTTGCAGTCCATTTCATAGTGCTTATGGATAAAATCTGATTTTATTTTCCTGTTAAATGTAGAATGCACTTTTAAAAACAAAGTCCTATCAGTAAGTAAAGCTGGTGCCATCATAACTCTCAAGCACACTGAACTCAACTGCATGAGAAAGCTATAGTTGTCTAAAAGATTTATTATAAGAATGGTTAGAGAAAAATAGATTTTTGGAAAGAAAGACATTAGGAGGATAGGTGGGGGATGTGTTGTGTGGATGAATCAGTTGAAACACTAGGGGATATGTTAGGCTAGACCTCACCCCTTACAGAAGATCTATTATTGGCAGAGAAAACACAATTGTTTCTTGCAAATTTCTATTCTATGTACAGAGCAGAAAAATTATTCTTCTGTTCCCTATGTGTCACAGTGCCATTCTTTTGTAAATCTTTACCTTTATTCTATTTTTAATAATTTTAAAACTCATTGGAAATATGATTGTTTATCCTCCCGTGTAAAATAAAGTCTCAAAAGAAACAGCAGCAAGACTCTTTTTGAATTTACTGCTTCCCCTTCATCTGCTGGGTGCAGATAAAATATTTTCACAGCTAGATCAAGACATATACAGTAGGAAGAACTGAATAAGAAAGCATACTTGGGACACCTGCTGGATATATTCAAGGAGACCACAAGTAAAAGAAAATCATGTTTTTCCCCTGCTGTCAGGATAATAAATCCATAATATAGTATCACCAGATGGCAGTGTACACCAGGGCATAGCATATTTATCTTCTCCAGCAAGTTCACATCCTTCATTTTCTTTAATTACAGCAGTAGACTAGGGCAGTCCTGGTAGAATGAGCATTATGCAACATTCAGCAGAAAACTAGAACTGGGAATAGTTTATCATAGCCACCTATGCCATTAGAGGGATAATCCAGCATTGTACTTGGTAAAACAAAAACTCAGAATCCTCAGATGCAGCAGGGAAATTTGTCACAAATTTGTACATGAAATAATGCAGGTTAAAGAGGAAACTTCTGAAGATTTGGCCACACACAAAACAGTGGTCACAATGTTTAAAGATAACCCACACCATTCTTGTTTTGGTGCTCTTAGATCATAGTTGATCCCTTGTGACTTCTTGGAGAATGCCTAGCAGTCTGAACTAAGCCCCTGTGGTTTTCTGGGCAAGATTTTCAGAAGTGGTTTGTCTGCCTGTTTCCTGGGGCTGAGAGGGAGTGACTGGCCCAAGGTCACCCAACTAGCTTTGTCCATAGTGGGACTACAATATAGACTTCCTGTTTCTACCTTGGTGCCTTAACTGCTATACTCCACAGGCTCTCCCCATTCTAGAGCTTAACATTTGTTAATTGGCACATTGATCTTAGCCAGGGATACAAGCATCTGGAAAAAGTCATGATGATGTCATACGTATCTTGCATCATTTTTGTGATGGCATACATAACATCATTTTTACATACTCATGTCCAAGTTCTATTTTAGTGACCCTTGGATATCATGCTACCTGTTCTTTTGAACTAGCTGCTGCTTCTGTTTCTAGTCACATTTTGATTTTATAAATTTTGAAGAATAAAATCTAGAAAGATTGTACAGGTAATCCATTTCTGTCAATACAATCGTTCTTGTGGCTCAGAATTAGTGAAACCTGTCAGGTCTGCTATCACACTGCCTCACCCTTACTTCACTTTGATGGCATCCTGCCATAAAAAAGGAGTGAGGAGGAATGGAGGAAAATAGGGAGGGGGATGACAAGAACCAGAACTGCCAACCAGAGACAATTCAAGGACATAGCCCTGGGAACAGAAAGCAAACAACCACCAAAGAGGCATCAAACTTTAGAACTGTTACCAAAACATCTAGTTTTAATATTGGACATTAACAAGATGACCAATGTAGGGGAGGGTGTGGGAAAAGGGAAAATCACTGGGTTTATGTGGGAATATTCAGATGTGGATTTGCTTATGCTGTAATCACTTGGCTTTAGTAAAAGTATATCTTTTGCTACAAATGGAGTCGAGAGTCTTTCTTTTCAAAATACCCAAGCCAGGGCAAACCTGACAAAAATCATAAATACGTTCTTTTTACAAGGAATTTTAAAAATGTATCAGGAAACTAAAAGGAGAAATGTCTGACGTTATGCAAAAAAGGCATCTTCCAGCCAAGGCATACCTCATGCAGTTCCCACTAGTCTACTGATGTAGTTCTATTAACATGGGAGCAAAGTGATTCAGTCTGAAATCATGTATCTTCTGTTCCCTTTCTGGAGTTTATAAATCTTGTCTCAGATGGCTGCAAGGAGGGGAGGCCGGCACCTGGCTCCAGTGTGGGTGTTTATTGTTTGGTTTTTTTCTGAATGTAATTGGCTGAAGAGATACGACTTTCTCCAGAGAAGAAATAAGATCTTGATTTTGTTGGCTGTACCTGATTTTATCCTTTGTTCTGTTCATTTCCTCATGTTGCAACCAGTTTTCATTAAGGCTTCTTCCTGCCAGGATTTTATTATGGTGGGAAATATATAACCCCGAAATGCCCCTCCCTGCACCTTTGCAACTTTTGATTTCTAAACCTAGAAACTAAGGGAATGATCAAACAGTAATTAGAGCGTTGGATTATAAATGGTGATTTGTTTGAATTTGTACAAGTATCCCTTGACTTACGACCATTCGTCTAGCAATCATTCGAAGTTATGAAAAAAGTGAGTTGCGACTGGTCCTCACTCTTACAACTGTTGCAGCGTCCTTGTGACTTGGCAATCTGCATGTATTTATGAAGGTTGCAACATCCTGGGGTCACTTGATCTCTATTTATTACCTTCCCAATCAGTTTCCAAGAAGGAAAGTCAATGGGGGAAATCAAACTTGCTTAATAACCACTGTGATTTGCTTTGCAACCCCAGCAAGAAAGATTATAAAATTGGCATGATCACATGACTCATTTAACCACTGCATGTGACCGAAATTCTGGTCCCAGTTGTGGTCAAGGACTACTGTACAGGATTGGAAGTTTGGAAATAAATGAATTTCCAAACTGCCGATCTTTAAGGAAATTTTCTCTTTATTCAAGCACAGCAATCTGATCCTGACTCTTTCACGGTCAGTACTGACCTTTGCCCCCCAATCCCTCCCTTTCTGATCCCCAATTCTCTGCTTCTCATTGGCTATCTTCCAAGTCACTTTCCTGATTCCTTCTTCGTCAGATCACAGGAATGTCTCCCCCGTCCCCATCTCCGAGGAGACAGAATCTTCAAAGGGATTTAGTAGGCAAAAGTTCAGGCTTCTCCTCTCTTTATTATATGTCAATGCTGGGACGCTGACATCACTGTCATCTCAAGAGATCTTTCTAGCTACTAGAAAGAAAGAGATCATGTCTCTGAGAAAGCTTTTCAGAACTGAGTTTCATTGACCACGCTTTCAGTAGATACTGTGCTTTAAAGTTAAAGGTAATCTTTAGGTTACAATCTTTAATTCAGTGACTATTCAAACTTACAATAGCACTTAAAGAATGATACTTATGACTGGACCTTGGAGTTCTGGCCATCAGAATGTCTGATTGCAATGTGAGTGCTTGGTGAACCGTGGTCATATAATCGTGATTTCCCATGTTCCCTTCTGGATTTCCACAAGCAAATTTAATTGAGTCCCCATTTAGTGACCACAGTTGGGACCTTGGTCGTTAAGCAAAGCAGCCACTAGGTGAAACTTCAGTTGTGTTTTTGATATTATTTCAGTTTTTCTTTGTTTTATAGACCTGCAAAGGTAATAAATGCGAGGATTGAACATACAGTTACTTTTTCATTACTATTGCTAAGCAAGAGAGTTACTAAAGGTACAGCCACATCAATAAAGCTGCTAATAATGTAAATCACCCTATACAGATAAAATGTGAATCACAGACTACAAAGAAAAATCTTGGTGGTCTGAGTGCTTCCTGGGGAGTGAAAAGAAGGAAAGAGAAACTTGACCTTAGCTAATGAAGCTTATGAAGCTACTGTTATGTTAAGTACTTCTAACACCACTCTTAGATTCTATTATTTTGTTCAGGGGAAATAACCATGGCATACTTTTATTGCCTGCACTTTTTCTAAGTGCTGTGCTACTGTTGGTATTTTGTTGTGAATGGGATTTATGTGAATTTAATGAGGCTGTTAGATTGGATTTATTGCATTTTGTTTCTGTACTTTTATTATTTTAATAATCTTGCGTATCTATTTTAGAAGTGGAATAGTTTGATATAAATGTTTTATATAAATGAATGCATAAAATAATAAACCCATTTTCTGTTTTATGGTTCAGGATCCATCAGTTCAGAATAAAAGATTGCAATTCTGAGCAGCTACAATGTGAGGAAGTGAGCTATAGCATCACATATTAGTATGTAAAAACAAAAATAAAAAACCAGAGTGCAGTGGGATTCAGCAGCAGTTGCTAATTTTTCAAGGTGAGAGAACAGCAAGCAAACACCCTCCTACACAGTTAGCAATTTTTATGTAAAATTAGTTTCCGTGGTGGATTTCTCAGACATTTTATTGCTTTGGGAGCTGTAAATACACAGTGAACCTGAAACACAGTAGCCCAAAATAGAAATGGTACTTCAGCAGGCTCCCGCTTTTAAGTTAATGAACTGCAACACACAGTTGCCCCATAATAGTACTTGAAACATTTATTGTTGCTCAATGTAATAAATCCTTTTCGCCAAATACAAGCAAACTGCATGCTCGATTAGTCAGAGGAAATTGGTCACTTTGTTTAACCCCCGAAGTTTGAAATATGGATCTTGCTGCAGAGGGAAGCAGCTAGAATCAAATAGGTAAGTCATTAAAAGAGGTGAGTGTGTATATATATATATACACACACACATGTATAATATGTATATGTATATGTATATGTATAATGTGTGTGTGCGTGCATATCAGTGGGTGGATGGGATCCTGAGATATCTCTGGCCAGCTTGGTAACAGTGCTTAAATTTAGAAAGATGCAGAAAAAACACAAAAAATGCAATAGCTTCCAGCTTCTCTCTCTCTCTCTTTTTTTTTAAAAATAATCTTTATTTACATTTTCCATTAAAAAAAACAAAAAAATAACAACACACCATATAAATAACATACAAGACAGCATAACAAATAACAAATGTATCTGCAAGTACATTATGTTCCGAGGGAGACAGAACAACTTATATCTCTTTATACATCAGTTAGGTCTATCCGACCTCACTTTGTTAGTATAATATAGATTTCTCAGTAGATAGCTTTCCTCTTTTCAATTGGGTTATGGTTTTCTCTTCGCTAGCCAAGTATATAATTTTTCCCAGGATAAACATGTTTGAGTTTGATCTTTATCTTTTAATTTTTTAGTCAATTTATCTGCTTCCGCACAGTCCAAAACCTTTTTTATAATTGCTTCCTCCGATGGGATATTTTTGTTTTTCCAAAATTGCGCGTATATCAATCTCGCCGCTGAGCTTCCAGCTTCTCTGTAAACAGGCGACACTGGCTTGGTTTGCACATAATGCTTATTCAACATTTGTTTTAACTGGGGTGCTTTGAGCAAGCAAGAGCCAATCTTTTTTTTAAAAAAACCTTTTCTTTAAACCTAAGTTTAATTTTCCTTCCAATACGGTGATAAGAATGTAAAAGAATACATATAACTTGATTCCATTAAATTATATAAGAAGTTATAACTAGGTAGTAAATAACTAATATATTTTTGTTATATGTGATTAATTTTAACTCAGATCTGAAAAATGGACACCTGCATTATTCTAATATTGATGGGGGGAGGGGGTTGGTCAAATTTCTCATTAAAGCACTTTTCCAATATATTTCCTACTATGTATAAATATTCAGATTTTTCTGTTTTGCAAAATCTTGACACTGTTTCTCGTTGCAACAAAAAAAACCCTATTAATTCTATATACTCTAAGGTTTCATTTAGGTCATATATAAAAGGTCATTTTAGAATGACTTTTTTATTAAAATAAGACAAATCACAACTCGTACAATTTAGACCCTAAACTGGCCATATTCAGTTTTTAAGAAGCTGGAGTCAACCTGATGGTAAGTAATATTTAATCAATTTCTGATTTGTATTCCACTCCTGCCAATATCCAGAAGAAATGGGCAGAGCAGGCAAAGTGTCAGGATTAGATCAGGATTATAAAAAAAAATATGGTTAAAACAAGATAGATTTATAAATTAATAATACACAAGGTTCAGATTGTAATTTAATTGTCCTCCCCAAGCAGCTTATCTTTTCTTTCTTAGAGTTTGCTTATACATCCTAAATTCTAAAGGATCCACAGTATAATCTTTAGCTTGACAGTACATTGTGTACCTGGGTGCTCATGTCACATCATGGGAAGGAAGGAAGGAAGGAAGGAAGGAGAGGAGGAGGAGGAGGAGGAGGAGGAGGAGAGAATATAAGCCCAGGAACAAAGGAAGGTATGATTTTTGCCCTCTGATTGCAGTACAGTCACTTTATGATTTTTAAAACATAAATCTACTTATGCTTTATTAATCTTCTTCTTAGTAAATATTGCTAGCTTATTTAAGCTAATTCTTGCATATATTAACGGATGACTAATGTTTTAGGGAGTTTGTTGATTCTCTGCACCTAACAAAATGAGGTGGGAAATGTCCTGGTTACCTTACAAGACTGCAGTAGTCTGAGAACTTGTGTCTCCCTGCCACTATTACACAAGCCATCAAAGATGAATATGTTCTCTTCAACATTTCTCTTATCAGAGATTGTTGGGGAGGCCTGTGAAACAGTGGCAACCACACTGTTATTTAGTATCTATTTATATGTTTATTTATGTTCCACATAAATTCATGTTCTCAATATAGTACAAAGTAATCAGAAACAAAAATAGAATCCCAAACAAATAGAAAAAAAGACATAGGAAACAATAAAGCATGTACGAAACAGCCAGGTATGCAAATCATAATCTGTTCAAATAGCTTGTAAAACGGTTACAAGTTAAGTGTTTATTATATGGCTTTTTTAACGCCAAAAAAGATAGATCCTAACTTAGTAAGAATTTCTTGTAGAAAGTTCGGTATGTCAAATATGAGGACCCACCATTGAACTAAGGTTCCCTTAGTGAAGTGGCACCCCAAAAAGGACCCCAGGTGATTCTTTCAGTCAATCATCATAATTAAACACCTGTTTTAAAAGTCATTGGGGAGCAACAAAGGGGCCAGTTGTAAAGGCAGCCAGGTTTCTTCTTGAACTACATTGAGAAATCATCTTTAGCTTTTCATAAGAAAGAGCCATTACATCGGTTGCAGAAGAAAAGTATGTAGCCTTCCGGTGTCTTCTAAAAAGGGGGAAAGAATCATATGAGGAAGAAAAATGGTAGACAAATGATGTTTATAACATGAAGTGGATCAAAAGCATTGCTCTTCTTTTAAAGACAATCCTATTAAATTTGAGGATTTTAGGAAGCCTTTGACTTTGTCTTGATGATCTGTGCTTGGAAATGATGTACCGGTTTCAACATTTCATTCCACACATCCTTCACCTCTTTTAAAAGAACCAACCTTGTGATTGTGAAAGATATCAGTGGAAGTTTAAAGTGCAGCCACACAGATCCCACTGGAGAGCTTCTCTCTCTAGCTTAACTCATATGGTTGCTATGATAATAAATTAACAAAATCATAATAACATAGCAACTGCTATTTTTATATGTGCTTAACGATGGTATCCAACCTTCTTTCAAGATGTTCTGTAGCCTATATGGATTTTCCCTTTCTGTTTTGATTATATTATTTCATTGCATTTAATGTACTGTATAGTATCAGCGGAAATAACTATTGTTGGTAAGTCCAATGCAGGATATTACATCAATTTTAGGTATTAAAGAGCCGGCTTTTCCACATACCGTATTTTTCGGTGTATAAGACGCACCAGAGTATAAGACGCACCTTAATTTTGGAGGAGGAAAACAAGGAAAAAAGTATTTTACCTTTGCCTACCAGCATTTAAGGTGGTGCCTGAACCTGCGATCCCCTTCCCAATTCCAAACATGGGGTGTGTGCAGAGACAAAAACAGTGCATCGTGTTTCAGGAGGCGGATCTGGCCAGGAGGAAAGAAAAATTGAGTCTGCTGAGAAGGAGGATGGGGGTGCGCGGCTCTGCAATGTGCAGAAAAACACTTTCAGGTGGCAGCGCTACAATCTCCTCCCCGAATCCAAAGCACTTCTCAGTTCCCCGCTGCACATTGCAGGGGAACTGGCCGCCACCTGAAGCGCGACTCTTGAGAATTGCATTGGAGAATCCGGGCAGCGATGGCTGGAAAGGAGGAACATTTCCCTTTAGGGGCTCCCATTCAGCTCAGCTTGGCTCCTGGGCGCAGAGAGGGCTTAGGCAGCGGCAGCTCCTCACATTGCTGGGGAGTGAAGTCAGCGCGGCCAGAGGGGTGACCAGCCGCAAATCGTGGCACCCGCCTTGTTCCCCGAAGCTGCTGGGCAGATCCCCCCCCCGACCGTCCCAAAGAGGGAGGGTTGTTCCTCAGGCTGTGCCCCGACCCAGATCCTTGCCACCTGGAACTGGCCGAAAATGGCCGAAGGGTGGGGGCTGGTGGGGGGGGCTACATTCAGCGTATAAAACGCACCCAGATTTTCACCCCCTTTTTGGGGGTAAAAAGGCGCACCTTTTTATACACCAAAAAATACGGTAGGTAGCTAATACTTGACTAGTTCTGCCAGAATAACGAACTCAAATTGTTAAATGTGGAGGCTGAAAAGAGTCATTGATAAAGGGTTTTTTTTTTTGCTCAAGATCAGGATTCACACTTTAGAGGAAGTGAATAACCAAAGCATGGAGAGGGTATCCAGTTTAGATTCTTGTCATTTTGACAAATGATAGGAAAAAGAAAAGCCACAGGTCTAATCTTTTCATCAGTTCTTCAAAGTGGAGGGGGCAGTTAACTTCACAATTAGCTTGTCATGGACTATTCATTTATTTATTTATCACATTTGTATCTTATGCTGCCTCTAAGGAGCTGGGAGAGGGAGGAAGCATGTGTGAGCTTCTCCAGCTGTAGTATTGCAACAATAAATTCCTTAAATTACCCAAAGAAAGAGTTGCGGAGAGGAAAGCTTACCCAAATTCTCCTAGTCAAATCTCACTGCTTCAAAATGTCTTCTAAAAACAATAACAATATGTGCAATAACAACATGTGCTAATATAAGGGGACAAATGGTCTTACTTCTCTCTTTCCTCTTGATTCTGAGCATGGCAGCAATTGTATGAAATATTAGGCTAGCAAATATCAACCACTGCCAGACTTTGTAAAGGACCCTTGGGTGAATGTCTATGATAACTCACCACAGCCAACACACCTCACCTGAGTCGCTATGACCAACTCACCACAGCCCACTCACCCTGAGACAACTCGCCATG